GTAATAAACAGAATAAATTTCCTTCAGTACGTTTGTCTTCTGGATCAAAGGTCACAATAATCTCAATCTGGGAAAGTTGAGGGAAGTGTTTGCCTCAAAAGTTTGGTTTGTTTGAGGAGGTTTGAATGCATTATACAACTCCGATGTGGACCAAAAAAYGAACTCTGGTCCCCCTAATAACCTAGGTCTTGGCTCAGTTGACGTGAACTCTCGAATGCAAGCAGGAAGTAGACTACTGTGCAGGGTATTCTGGGTAAATTTAACCAAAACAAATGTGTAAGAAATGGATCATGGTCCTTTGCCAAAGACAAAATAGAAATCCTACAGCTGCTAATCTGACACCAGTTTGTTTTTTTTTTACATTTCTTGAAGAATTAAGTTGCGCTCAGTGTCTTGTTCAGAGGTTTTCGTGCCATTTCCTTCAGTGGTTCTTGGTGCAGTTCCACCATACATTGCTCAAAGGGTTTGGTTGATTTGATATTGCAGTTTGAAAGTGAATTCACCAGCTAAGAATGTAACAGATCCCCAATTGAACCGAGTCTATTAGACGATCAGGTGATAAAACACCCTTAAATTAAGACAAGATATGCCTTCCARCAATGCCAGGGCTTTTCACCCCGAAACACAAACCTCTCCTGAGCCAAGTCAACAAGTTCTGCAGCCGACACCTCCAAAGCCAAAAACGTGTCGCCGCAAATTAAATGTGCAGCGAAATCTCGCAGCTGGCAGGAAGCTGCCACCGCTCTCCGTTGACCTGATGGTGGACGTGATAATGGGCTCTGGAGTGTGTTGGTTTCTGCACACGGAGTAGAGTTTGGAACCAAAGTGTTGCTTTTGTAAGAATTAGACAGACGGAGCAAAAGGGAGGAGGGTAGTCTGAGAATCAAACCCTGTGAAGGAAAATAAACACCGCTGGATTCACCCACCAAACCAGCGACACGGTTGCTTAACAATCAAAGGAATGAAACTCAACCAGTTGAGGTTTGTTTGCAGAGTATAAAAACTTTATTACATCCCTCGTTTTGATCCTTTCAAATTATTTTACGAACCTTTTATGAGGCCAGCTCGAGGCTCGCTGCTCCCCTGTGATCCGGTGTACGAAAACTGGTAAATGAAACAACTGTGAGAACATCGTGAGGCTTTGCTTACGTTGAGCTTAACTCAAGTAAACACCCATCATGCCAGCAAATTTCAAATGTTACCACTGTGTAGAGACACTTTGCTTTCTTTGTTCTCTGAACAAATGTGGAGCATGTAGAAAACGTCCTCTTGACAAAGCAATTGGAAACAAGCAAATGGTCGTACCCACTCATGATGTCCGGCCTGGAGAGGCTCTGTGGTCTGTTGAGAGAAGAAAACAGGAAATACCTGAATTGTCCGGCCTCTGTTCTGTACAACAGCCCAATTGAGCTTTTTTAGAGTGAAGGATGTTGACAGAAGACATGTTTAATCTTTTGTAGAGCCCACCTTTTAAACCAGAACATCTGATGTCAAAATGTTTTGAATGCTGAGAGGTGGCATCTATTCCATGATTCACTTGGACCACAACTTACCGTCTGACTGTCTGTAAAAGGCAGGAGGAAGCTTTTATTCATTAGTGGCGGGAAGTGACCGAAAGAAAAATAGGAACGAGACACAGCGATGTTGACTGATGCATTTAAAAAAATGAATGAAATGCTTCATTAGGATTACAGGGACACGTGGAAAGGAAAAGTGCGGAATGACCGTTCAGGACGAGGAGGTTGTTTTTACTCGCAGAAGGAAACACCACGGTGCCAAAATATTTAAGCGCTTGGTCAATTCTGGAAAGTGTCGAGGGTTTCCTGAAGGATTTTCCCTCRTGTGAATAATGGTGATTTGTTACTTGGGTGTCTGTGCTCACAGAGGAAGGATTTGATGTTCAAACGGAGCAGCTCGAGCATTTTAACCTGACAGTGATGATGGAAGGTCACGGTTTTACAAAACAAACTTTTCTTCATGTTTAATCTTTGGCAACCTGCTGCAGCACTTGAAAAAACTTTGTATCATCTTATAGCATGACACTGGGATACCAAGTGTGGAGTACACTGTTAAAAAATGTCACACATTTTCATTATTTAGCCCACTTTGAGTGCTAAATCCTAGTTTATAAATTTCCACTAATATTTTTTTGTTATTTAGCTCACTTTTTCTTAAGTGTTGTGACTAAATGTTTAAATTTTGTATTCAAGTGTTTTGAAAATGAATGCAGACTTTGCTTTTGGTGTTCGGCTCTTGGTGGGATGTCATCATCCTGTTACAAAAGCAACCAACCACTAACGCTGCTAACAATRCTAATGCTGCTAACACGGCTAACGCTGCTAATGCTACCGAAGATGGCTCAGACACTAGCCGCAATTGCAAGCTTGATATCTTGTAGGGAAGTGTTAGCAGTGTTAGCAGAGTTAGCAGCATTAGTAGGGCTAGCAGCGTTAGCAGTGTTAGCAGTGCTAGCAGTGTTAGCGGTTGCTTTTGCCACATAACGACATCATAACAAGCCATGGCAATGGTAAAGACTTTGTTCCACTCTGAAATGCTTAAAAGGGACCTATTATGCAAAATTCACTTTTTAAAGATTTTTTTAACTCAACTTTGGGTATGTACTTCTTAAAAAAACAGTCCTAGGGCCAATAAATGCACCCAGGGGCATATTTACTGTAAGTAAAAGTATTTTTAATGTATATTAACGACAAGTTTTATACTTCCGTCATTTTGTGATGTCACAAGCCGTACGACAACCCACCGGAACCTGCATTCAGCCCCTTACCTAGCAACACCCGGGTGAGGCTCCACCTCTTCAGTATAAAAAGCCGTCACCGTGTTGTTGTGTAATGTGTAGCTCATTTCACAACAAGCCTCCAACAGGGCAATGGGTAGAGTGTTGGACCAGAGAGTGGGAGACCAGGGTTTGAGACCAGCACGGGTGCTATTTAATTTTTTTTTTCGTTCGTTGTGAACACGTTTTCTCATGTACCTCTACTGTTTAGCTTATTAAAGCCTATTTGTTAGAGTTTCTGAGGTATTTTGACCKCTGCTGCTCCCTGCTCTGGTAACAGCATGCAGAGTGAGCGCAGAGCAGAGGAGGGAGAGGACAAAAGAAGCTGTGATCGACTCTGCCTCTGGGTCTCATATGGTTGTACAACGGAGCTTCTGCTATTATTAGCCATGCTAAGGTAAACGCCGGCTTTGGAGGGCGGAGTTAATGTCAACAGATTTTTGGAGGGCGTTACCAACAGAGCTCATTAACATAAACAGCTCTTCTGAACGGAAGTCAGAGCAGGCAGAACTAGAAAATGGGAAGTTTTATTATCTGAGAATTATTTTGTGCATTAAATTGAATGAACATGGTCTGGATAGCCCACAGACATACCATAAAAATTTCGAGGATGCATAATTGGTCTCCTTTAAATGTAAATTTCAACATTTAGCCACATAACTTGTTTACTTATAACGTTTACTTTAGGTTTAGAATTTAACATTTAGTAGTAAAATTTAACATTTAAATTTAACATTATGTAAAAATGAGCAAAATGCAAGAACTGTGAGCTAAAGAACAATAAAATGGAAAGTTTTAAATGAGGTTATTACTTTTTTAGAAAGTGAGCTAAATAGTWAATACGTATTAGTGACATATTTCAACATGTTACATGACATTCTCGTCCTTATATGCCTCGACTGTAGGAACAGTTTGCTAGGGATAAAAATATGAGCCATGAACTTTTAGGAGAAAAAAAATCTATTTTCTCACAGTTACAGTAGTTTCTTACTTAAAAAACAATAAAAACTGCTGAAGACYTGATATTTGCTGGGTTCTGGTGAGAACTAAATTGAGCCAGCAGAGTCCTTTTGAGCCGAATTAATTGGAGAAATCATGTCACCTCACAAAATYGTTTGAGCGTTTTTTAACAAACGCCCAAAACCAGTGTATAATAAAATCAGAGCCAGTTTTAAATGCAATTGCCAGGCCTGATGGCCGTCGTTTCCCACTGCACTAAAAACGGATAAAAGGTTTTTGTATTCTATATGTTACAAAGGATTTCTTTTTGGTAATTGGGGAACACACTAACTGTATTTTTATTTCTTTTTTGCTTCTTTCAGGACCTCCTGTAAGTATTCCTGATTCATTTCTTCCTTTGGGACAGCCTGTGAAGGTAAAAACCCTGACTAAAACCATTTGTAAGGACAAACCTTACAAGAAGCAGAGATCCAGCATTGAACTGTCAGAGCTATCGAACAAGCACTAAAGTTTTGAGCTACGTCTTGTCATTTTGTTGTATTAATCTGCAGAAACATCTGAGATCCTCATCACTCCTTCATATTCTGCTGCATTCTGGAACTTTTAGGGCCAGAGCATTCTGGCAGTGGGGGGTGGGGGGTAGACACCGGCAAATTTGTGAGAACTATAAAAATGTACTGAGCACCTCAGTTCGCTCTCTCCTTACCTCTTTTTGTGTGTTTGGCTGAGTTCTGAACCTCGGGCACACAAATCCAGCAGTGCTCGAATGTCCGCCGGTTTATGTGGAGGTGATTATTTGTGCTTAAGAACTCCAACAAAAAAAAGGTGATTAAATAAGGTTTTATGTCTTTGGCTGACAGCTTTGTTGAAACTCTTGCAGCCTGTGCTTTACTTGACTTCATCCAGCTTGCTTGAAGCCGAACAGTAAGAGGAAACTGAACATGGTGGGTTTTGAGTGAAGCTGGTAGCCAAATTATTGAGAAGGGGGTCTCTGCAGTCACTAAGTGGGAGGTTCTTGGTGTGTGGGCGGATTTTGTAAATGACTTGATTGGTCTGTTTGACTTTTGTGGGAGGAGTTTATTAAAGGTGTGATTGGTCAGATTGACTATTTTGGGTGGAGTTTAAAGAAGCTATAATAATTCGGTTGGATGAACGCCAGGCAGCTGGAGAAACATGTAACAATTTGACCAGTTCGAAGCAGCCAGAACGCACCTATAAAAAGACAGCTAATTTTGAATATTAATATTAGACATAACTTGAGATAGGAAGGTGCTAACCCCACAAAACTCAGTCAAAACATCCCTAAAGCGCCTGGAAATAGATCACTAGATTTGAATATGAAAGTTAATTTTAGTCATAACTTGAGACAGGAAGATGCTAGTCATTAATTTATATTTTAATGTTCACAATAATTGTATTACCATTACATTAACTTCTCCCACGAGTCAATCCGACCAATCACGATTTTGCCAAAGTCCACCCACACCCAATACCTCCGCCTGTATTCCACACCCCGCCCATTGAGAGTTTGCCAAACCCCTCCCACACCGAAAAATTCTGCCAATCACAGTTTTTCCAAACTGCCCACACACCCAAGAAGCTCCCCCTATGAGATACCCCTACTTGAATTTATTTACCACTTTGGCTATGTTCCCACTGCAGGTCTTAATGCTCAAATACGAATTTTTGCTTCTGGTTGTTCACATCAGACTCTGTTGTGAACAGACCACGGCCCTGAAATGTCCTACAGAAGACAATGGGTTGTAGTTTAAATTGTAGTTTAATGCATTTTATAGGCTAGAGACTCATTAGACTTTTTGGGTAAAACTTCTTCAGAAATTTCCCCCACTATTATAACAGGCGAGCCCTTAGCAGCTTATCTGTCTTTTAGGAACATATTCAATAAAACCCATGAAAGATTTTAGTGAAACTCTCAGAAAGCATTCATTTCATGTACATCTCCAAATGAACGACCATTCAAAATGGCCAAAATGGGAGAAATATGTTAAAATCCCATTTTACTATCATTTACGATTATTTTAATGGCTCGTCATGACYGGTTTCCTCGCAGTAATACCAGTAGTCAAAATATATCACCAAACTAATCCCTTTACYGCCGCGTTCCACTAATGGAGAACTTCATACCTGATGTGTGCAGACTGCTGTTTGCTCTTATTTCTACTTCCATCATTCTTCTCTGCCAGCTCCCAGGACCTGCAGAGATTATCTCACCTCATTACGCTGCCTGGTGATCACAGACGCACTGCTCAGAACAGATGGAAAACTTCAGCCTCCCCAAAGATGAAGAGAAACACATACATACACATAAACAGCAGAGTTGTGACAGTTTGTTTTATGGCCACGTCAAAYGGGCGCTGCGTGTCTGCATGCATGTGTGTGACTTTTCCCCATATTTTTTTTTCTTACTTTATAGCCCACAGGCAAGTGAGGCTGGATAGGTATAATAGCGTGTGCCGGCTGAGCTGTAAAAGTGTAAGTTAATCCTCTGAGCYTTTTCAGACACTCGCTCATAAGGTTCTGGGACATAAGTAAGTGCAGGTGGTCTTGCTAGGAATGGGAMTCTTTAGGCACCTCATGATTYGATTCGATTACGAGTCAAAGGGCTGTGATGCAGTTATAAAACCACTATTGATCCATCATAAATATCAGGTTTGGAAGTAAACCCCAGGAGGAGACTGGTAAACTTATCCAAAACACTGTGAAGCTCAAATACTGAAGGAGAAATAAAGTCAAGTCAAGTCAACTTTATTTATATAGCACATTTAAAAACAACTGCYGTTGGCCAAASTGCTTCACATATTGCAACTAAAAACAAAGCATTACTGACAGAACASAAAWAATGATAAAACTATAAAAACAGACCAAATAAAWAGGGAAAACAACTCTCAKACTACATTAAAWGCATTTGAAAACAGGTGTGTTTTAAGAAGAGATTTAAAAACTCCAAGAGTTTAGGCCCGTCTGACATGAAGGGGCRRCTGRTTCCACAATTTAGGAGCCACAACTGMAAAGGCTCGGTCACCTCTGTGGACCAGTCTGGACCACGGGACAGCCAAAAGCAAGTGAWCRCTGKATCTAAGAGATCTGGAGGGCACATAGGGCTGCAGGAGGTCAGACAGGTATTCAGGAGCCAGTCCATTCAGAGCCTTATAGGTCATCAATAAAAGTTTAAAATCAATTTAAAAAAAACAGGGAGCCAGTGAAGGGAAGCCAGCACCGGGGTGATATGATCACGCTTCTTGGTCCGTGTTAAAAGGCGTGCTGCAGCATTCTGAACCAGCTGCAGGCGTGAGCGGCCAGCCTGGCTAACACCAACATACAGAGAGTTGCAGTAGTCCAGCTGAGATGTAATAAAAGCGTAGATCACACATTCAAGGTCTTTGAAAGATAAAAACGATTTGATTTAAGATAAAAGTCTCAGTTTAAAAAATGATCTTTTTACTACAGAATTAATCTGTTTCTCAAAGTTGAAGTTTGAGTCAAAGATCACACCCAAGTTTTTGACATGTGACTTAACAGATGGTTCCAAGGCACCCATAACCTTAGGAGAAGCACTGCAATTACCACTGGGTCCAAAGATAATAGTTTCAGTTTTGTTTTCATTGAAATTTAGAAAGTTTAAAGT